AGATCAGGCAGGCCAAGGTACAAATTGAGATCCAACTACCAAGAGATATGAAAGGCAACAATAAAACTTCTGTAAATACATTAGAAATAAGAGGAAAACCAAGGAAAATGCAGGCCCCTTACTGAGTGGGAAGGGAAAGCTAATAATGGATGACAGGGGGAAGGCTGATGGGGTAGCTGGCACTTTGGGGGACAGGATTCAGAAACAAAATTTTCTTTAAAAGTTGGGGAAATGGTCTGAAATAAATAGAGTGAAATTCAAGAAGCACACAGACCAGGTACTGCATTTAGGACAGAGCAATCAAATGTACAAATATAAAATGGGGAATGATTGGCAAGACTGCAGTATTACAAAAAAGGCTGTGTGGGTTATAGTGGACCACAAGCCAAATATCAGCCAAGTGTCATTTTTTGGTAAAATAAATAAATAACATAGCATACTGGGATGTATTAACAGGAGTATCACATTAAAGTTACAGAAAGTGATTTTTCTGCTCTATTAGCACTGGTGAGGCCTCACCCAGAGTACCATGTTCAGTTTTAGTTACTAAACTTCAAGAAAGACTTGAAAAAATTGGAAGAGGTCTGGAGGAGAGCAACAAAAATGATTAAAGAGCTAGAATCATAAAGATTATTTAGTGTGAGTGTCAGCATGTCTGCTTCGGGTACCCCCTGTCCCCGGGATTCTCGCCTGCCATGACTTTTGATCTTCAAACAAATGGGAGGGGAGGAGGTGTTAACCATGCAGGTACCCGCAGGAAGGACTACGCTGAACCAGCATATAGTAAAGGTGCTTTATTACTCTTAGTCGGGGTTACTTTTTTCAGGACTGCCCTACAGAGGAGGCAGCTCGTGGGGCCCTCAGCAGAGACCCCCCCTTACTCAGTGAACGAGACAATCCCCGCCAACTTACTTGGGTGGTAAATCTTGTGTGTCGTCCCGGTGATTAGCTGCTAATTACCTCATTAGCAGCTGATTAACTACAGCCCTGGGATCCCCCGGCTGTGTCTTGTGCCGGTGTGGAGAGCCCGGCTTCTCAGTTGTTTTGCTTTGCCTCCCCCCCCACCCCTCTCATCCTCCAGTGAGGGGTCGGGGTCCTGTCTCTTCAGAGCTGGGTTGAGGGTTCCCCCGTCTCCTTTTCCTCTTGCGTACCAGCCCCGCGTCTTGGCAGGAAGCCGCGGCTTCTAACCACACCGCTGCTCCATCCCCTGTGACTCTCTGCCGAAGCTGGGGTTTTCAGGTATGTGTCTATCCTGTAAGTCCACTGTCGCCTGTGAACCCATGCCTCAGGGTCTTCTTCGGGGCCTCTCGCCGTAGAGCTCCTCGTCTGTGTCTCTCACTCTGCAAGCGCCCGAAAGCAACTTCTGGAAGGTCTTCTCCACTTCTTATCCCTCTTTCCGGAGCCTCATTGGCTCCAGAAGGTGTGGTGTCTCTCTTCCCAGCTGTGCTAATCATCTTCAGCTGGCAACCCCTCTTAGTAACAGAGTTGCAGCCAGGACTCTGTTACACTGAGGAAGAGGAGACAGAGGGGATTTATAAAAGTCTTCAAATACACGTGATCAAAATTGGAAAGATTAAAAGTTCAACTGCCTTAGTCACATTAGACTGATCCCTCAGCTTTAACCACCGCTGTCACAATACGGCCTCCCCAAGGATGACTGTGATATCCTTAGGGCACCCTGACCATGCTGGCTCTGCCCTATGAGCACCTACTAATCTCTCCTGCCATGTCCTGCTGGTATAAATTATGAGTCAGAAGGCTGCCCTCAAGTTGCTGCTCTGTCACAGTCAGACTCCTTTAAACCCTGTGAATTGTTGGACCCTGTAACACATCACCCTCCCTGGCGCCATCCTTCTGGTCATCTGCGCCTTACGCAGGGCGGCCTTAAAGTCTGATTTGGAACTCTTATGTCCTGCCCTCTACTCTCCTGCCATGTCTTGATGGAAATTATTGTTGATGTTCTTGCGAGCGGGAGACTGCCTGTTGTATTTTGTATGTTGGGGTCTTTCGCCTACACGAGCCTGACCCCTGTATTTCTCTACCTAGGCCTTCCCGTCCAAAACCCACCAAACAGGGTTTGACTCTGAGGCTCTAGCCATTTACGGTGTTGGGCCTTGTTATAATTTGGCCTCCTGGTCCTTGGGCTCTCCACAGCCCTGTCTTGCACTGCGTCTCTGGTGCTCAGGCTCTCTGCAGCCCTGTCTTGCACTGCGCCTTCTCTGCCTCCCCCCCAGGGCTTCTCTCGCTGCCCCCTCTCTGGGGCTGTGGTCCCCAGGATACCGTGGGTCCCCTATGAGGCCTCCTCCATTCCCTACTAGCCTCACCCAAGCCACCAGTATTAGTCAATAAGCAAAAAAGTAAAAAATAATAATTGCCACTAGTCACTATGATAAAGCAAGGCAGCCGGTCAGCTTACATTCGCAGGCTTCTTGCTTCAGCTCCCGACCGCTGGTTACCATCCTTGTTGTGGTGCGGCTGCCATCTCTCCACAGCTTCCTGCCTTTGGACCGCTCACCCAGCTTCCTTGTGGAGCTCTCGGAGGCACTCCTTCCCCTTTGGCTGCTGTCCCCCCTTCTGCCATTCTGCCCCAGGTTCTTATAGTCCTGCCCCTTCTGGTCAGCTGACTAGCAGGCTGGGACCAGTCTTTAACTCCTTCTGCACCAGTACTCCGGGCCCAGAAAGTTCTGGCCTTAAAGGGGCGGGTCTGCTTTCTAGTGACAGGGCTAGGGGCCACTGTTACAGACCCCTTACTGGGTCCCACACTCAGGAGATGCCTTATGGTATCCCCAAGCCTTATGGGCTAGATGCGTGGCTCCAACACCTTCCCTTTACCACCCCCCATGCCTAACAGGTGGTATTTAAACATCCCTATTTTGATGAGGCCTCAGTCTAACTTGGCCTCCTGTCATCACTGGGCCCTTGGCCCCTGTCTCTGCATCCTCTCCAGCACTGGGCTTGCTGCAGCCCTGTCTCTGCACCCTCTCCGGCACTATGACAGATTTTCACAGGGTTGTCAAAGGACAGAGGTAATAGAGATGCCAAATGTTAATTCCCTGCTCCAAAGCAGTATGTGCTTTCTAAAGAGAGTTTTTTAAAGGTCACTTGGGAGGGGGTTTTTTTAAATAAAATTGGAAGGCAACTTCTATTTCCCTCACCTTATTCTCAGAAATAAACACATGATTTTGATTATAATTTTCCCCCAAAAAAGACCCGAGGCAGATATCTGCCATGGAAAATTTCAGTCATAAGGTTAAAGTTTAGCAGACTCATAAGCAACTGAAAATAGGATGTTACAATCAGAAGTAAAGAGCACCCTTAATGATCAGTAGTACACAGAAAAGAACATGCACTTGTTAAAATCTCCTATATCAGTTTCACATTGTTCAGTCATGCAAACTATATTAAGAATAAAAGGGAAAAATGTTCAGGCTGATTATCAGAAAAGCAGCATGATTTTCATCATCCAATAGGCAACTGGCAAATAAGATCTACCTACTGCACTGTAGTTTTATTGCAAACTGCAGTGGATAAACAACAGAAAGCAACTGGTGGGAGGCCTCTTCTGTGGACATGTTACATCATTCAAACAAAAGGGTGAAAACAGAGGGAGTGCAATAGCATGGTCTCACCCTCCCTTCAGATCATGCCGCAGGAACAGCAGTTGGGGGCTTTATAAGTTCTTGAATTAGGTAAGAGTTCCCCTTGCACTTCCCTCTCCATGCTCAGCAGCATGTTCTCTCCCCATCCCCAATTTCCCTCTCCCCTGCCCATTACTCCCCATCCTTTGCACAGAGTAGAGAAACTGCAGAGCCACTCCTGTCCCATCCCAGCCAGACTGTGGCAGGGAGCCAGGCTTAGTCTCTGCCAGTGGCAGCAACAGCAGTGGGTCATTTCCCCCTCCCTGCCTGGTCCCATGGGGTTTCTCCACCAGCACAGGAGTGGGCTTGGGGTGTGGAAACCCGCCTGCTGCTGCTGTTGTCCATGGCTAAACCCAGCTCCCCACACAGTCTGGTTGGAGCAGGACAGAAGCAGCTCTGGAGCTCCCTCTGTCCTCAGTGCAGCCAGGCACAGCAGCAACAGGGGGCCTGGGAGGGAGAGAAGGGGAGAGAAAATGCCCATGAGCATGGAGGGAAGGGAAGAGGTACTGGGGTAGGGGGGTAAATTTCTACTTGATTTTAATACATTTATACCAGTATTAGTGCTGCTCTCATGGCATGGTCTGCCTGCCCAGTGTTGGGGAGAGGGAGGAATGTGGAAGTGGGGCTGCAGCCATTCTTGCTCGTTACCACAGATAGAGGAACTAGCACTCTAGATGACAGAGGGGTGTATGCTCCTACATGCCATACCACACAGTTTGGCCAAGGCTCCTTGTTTAGGCGTGACAGCAACATGTTGAAATGAGCACCATGGTCCAGAATCTACCATGACCAAGGATCTTCTCTATTTTACCTCCTATAAAGAATGGATAATAGGGCTAAACAGTGTACTTCAGCTCTTACTAAGAGACAGCAATGTCATCAGTGCCATTGGGAAGAGAATTCATACAGCCCTTATCCACTCACAGAATTTACTCTCTCAGCAAGTTACCAAAGCCAAACTCCAAGAACAAGACCCTGTGTTGTCTCCTCTCTTTTTCAATATGCTCTTCCTTCACCCCTGTTCCACCACCAACAGGACATGTAAATAGTTAATCGTAAAAGATGAGTTGTTAGAAAATACCTGAGTATCTAAATCCATCTAATCACCTAAATTTCCCAACAACTTGAGTCTATGCTGGCAGTTAAAATGAACAGATCCTTTCCTTCAGTTGCACATACATTATTAAAGGCATCATAAGCCTTCCCTCTCATTATTTTATGTGGAAAAAATGAAGGAAAATAATAAAAGGGGGTGGGTTGCTTGTGGGAGGAGGGTGAAAGAAACACTAATTAGCAATGAGCAAGACAAAAAAAAAAAGATGAACATCTGCAACCAACAAGTAACCCAGAACACAGACTGTATAATGACCCTTTAATAGCACCATTAGAAGATGATACAATGTGTATTGGACACAGTTATGCTAGATGCATGAAATCTTTCCTAATGAGCTCTAATACACTGAAATGCTATTTCCTGCCAATTTTCACACATTTAGTATCTTGCATGCACATTCAAAGGATACTTGACATGAACACAGAGTGAGTGAGTGGGAAAGACAGTCCATTCATTACAGAACAGCTTTTGCAGTTTCAAAAAGCAAAGGTAATTGCTATCAAGTTTATTCTTGGTATGCTGCATCTGTGGCTTCTGGTCCTTTTGGATCTTCATTTCCCTAAAAAAAGATAGATTTTACAGTTACAATTCACAACATCTCACTTTCAGCAAAATTAACTGGACACAGACAACTTGAAAAAGGAGAGAAGGTATAAACTTGTATTCACATCAGCAGATTACTTCCTTCAATTATCAAGATCAAATCCTACATTACTACTACATAATTTAGTATCCTTATGTTGTCATTACCCATATAGAGAATAAATAGAACACATCCATAATAATGCATATATGTCTCTCAAAAAAGTGTGTTAAAATGCCATGCCTACACAAGAGTCATTCAAACTTTTGCCAGTACTAAGCACCATGTTATCTATCTCAAGAAAAGCTGCTTATCAAATTATAAAAATGTTTAAAAAATGGATTTAGAGAATGAAAATTAGTATGCCGTGTAAACTTTAAAAGGAAGAGACATGGTGCTGGGTTTTATGGGAAATGCAGTTAAATCCAAGGCTGCAATGTATACTGTAAACTTGGGGTCTGTGTTTTTCTGAAAGAATATATGACTAAGGCTACAATGAATCTGTATCCAACACTGCATTATCATGAAGTCGGTAACCATGGTAATCTGAGTGTTTTCCTGTTCACTGCAAATTTGTGATATTTTAGGAACAAACTTTTATCAGGGAAAGTGCCCGTATGACTGGTAGTAACTGGAACTTAGCACCTAACAGCAATTGATTGGCTTTAGCCAAGTTCATTTGTGGTGGTTCATTTGTGGTTCATCAACAGGTGTCCAGGACAAAGAACTATCACTTAAGTAGCACTTAGTCTCAGAGACCTTAAGGGCATAACAACCATGGCAAAGGAACCATGCTAGAAGTGAACCTTTCAGATATCAACACAGTCTCACGTATGTGAGGAAGCCTGCTGCGGCCACTACATGAGCTATGCATCAGAAAACTTCAATTTCTAGGTGCTTGTAGAAGGTGCCAAATTAACAATACAAGAGATGAACAGCTACAAGGTCCTCCTCAGCCTTTCAGTGAAACTATTACTGGCTACGTCTAGCAGCAAGTTGATGTTTTCTGGATTAGGCTCTGACTACACAGATGAAGAACTAAGTCCTTCACCTCCTGGAAGCAGGAGTATTCCCTACATCCAGCAACAGGATCTGAAGGGTAATTCACATTTGGGGAAAGCGCAGTGGGTAATTTTCCTGAATACTGAGCAAGAGAGAAAGTGAAAAGATTTCTGAACAGCTGGAATAGACTGCTGTAGTTATTCTATTTGCCCAAATATGTGGGCTCTGCTCCCATACAAGGCTCTAATTTCACTGTAGGAAAAGAGCCAAGTTTCCATATCTCATCTTTGGACAGATATGGCAAACAGCTAGATTCCTCCTTTTCTTTACAACACATCACACATATCAGATGATACAAAATAATGAGAGAACAAGGGCAAAACCCGAGGGGGAAGAAACAGAAACTGCAGGGTAATATAACTGCGGCTGCCTCTTGTCATTTAATCCAAGTTGCACTATCATTAGATAAGTGGCCCAGGTTCTGACTGTGCCAGGATCAGCTCACAAATGATACAACAGCTCCCATTTGACAGGGTTTTTTCCTCCCCCCTGATGTTTAGCTTCTTTCTACAGAACATGAATAAATTAAGTGACTGCGGCATTGATGCCTGCACAGTTGGATGGGTGAAAAATTGGCTGGTGGGGCACACACAGAGAGTAGTGGTGGACGGGTTGTACTCAACCTGGCGAGATGTGAGCAGTGGGGTACCCCAGGACTCGGTCCTCAGGCCCACACTGTTTAACATCTTCATCAGCGACTTGGATGAGGGGGTGGAAAGCATGCTGTCCAAGTTTGCTGATGACACTAAGATGTGGGGTGAGGTGGACACACTTGAAGGGAGAGAGAGGCTGCAACTAGATTTAGACAGACTACAAAAGTGGGCAGACGAGAATAGGATGGGGTTCAACGTAGACAAATGCAGGGTGCTGCACCTTGGGAGAAGGAATCCACAGCATACATACAGGCTGGGGAGTTCCTTTCTTGAAAGCACAGAGGTGGAAAGGGATCTCGGAGTCATTACTGACTCCAAGATGAACATGAGCCGCCAATGCCAGACCGCAGCCAGCAAGGCCAGCCATACCTTGTCATGCATCCAAAGGTACATCTCAAGCCAGGCCAGAGAGGTTATACTCCCCCTCTATGCGACTTTGGTCAGGCCACCGTTGGAGTACTGCATCCAGTACTGGGCACCGCACTTCAAAAGGGAAGTGGCCAGCCTGGAGAGGGTTCAGAGGAGGGCCACCTGCTTGGTGAGAGGGCAGCAGGACAGGCCCTACGAGGAGAGACTGAGGGACCTGAACCTGTTCAGCCTCAGCAAGAGGAGGCTGAGAGGGGACCTGGTGGCTGCCTACAACCTCATCAAGGGGGATCAACAGCAAGTAGGCAGAGCTCTTTTCTCCCCAGCACCACCTGGGGTGATGAGGAACAATGGTCATAAGCTGATGGAGAATAGGTTTAGGTTGGAGATCAGAAGGCAATATTTTACAGTTAGGGTGGCCAAAATCTGGTACCAACTTCCCAGGGAAGTGGTCCTCGCCCCTACCTTGGGCATATTCAAGAGGAGGTTGGACGATCACCTGTCTGGGGTCTTGTGAGCCCAGCATTCATTCCTGCCTGTGGCAGGGGGTCAGGCTAGATGATCTGTGCAGGTCCCTCCTGACCCTAGCTACTATGAAACACTAATAAGCAGCGGTGTAACTAGGGGAGGGTGACTGGGGCATCCACTCCACTGCCCAATTGTAGGGGAAGGGGGAAATGGCTACCACAGGCAGCATTACTACACTGCTGGTAATAAGCCACCTGCTGAGAAATCAGAGGCAGAAGAGCATGTGACAAGATAGGGCCATGCACAAGCTATGTAGACAACAAGTGTGTGACTACATAAGATAGACTCTTAATGAAGGCACAAGGGATAATGTCTCTAACTCCCACACCCAAGGAAAGTTCTATATTCTTTGGGACCAAGGTAACTCTCACTTTTCCTCTTCATAGTTTTAGTCTCATGTTGGTCTCAGGTACATATGTAGTCAGGTCCAGGGTTAACAGTTATCTCATTTGGTGGGAAATTCTGATTTTGAGATACCAGGTTCTAGACAAATTACTTACTGGTGAGGCAAATGCCCACCTGGTGTTGGATGACTAACCGTTCCTGCCAGTGGTTAGTCATCCCAGTGGAGGCCAGGGCCCCCAAAGCTTCACATGAAATTCTCCTTCTTTACCGTGATTATACATCCACATCTTTATATTACTTTATATTGCACCTGATTTGCTTTTAGAGAACATTTTACTGGTATGATTCATGACAAAGAAAAATGAACTGTAGTAGGCGTCAACATTGGAAGCAAAATCAGGAGTTGTTGCTTAATTTTTCTTGTCCCAGCTAACTGGGCAGTACTTTTCTTAGCTGTTCTCCACAACCGAGAACCTGAAGTTTAGTTTGGTTTTGTTTGTAAATGAAACCTAAGTCTCAGGTAACAACACAATTTCAGGTGCTGGAGCTTTTAAAGAAAGCTTTCTGTATGTTTCACTCCACAAAAGCACCTTTGTATCAGATCCATTCATTTCTTATCTGCCATAGTTTACCAGTGCCTGCTGACTGTGGCACAGTATCAGGTCCTCTGCTAGAAATCAGGGAAGGTTATTTTTATCCTGTTAAGATGTGGTTTTAAAAATCTCAGAATGTGAGACAACAGATAATAACCCCAGACAAGTCTCTGGTCAGATCTAGTTGCTAAGTGGGTTCCTTAATCACTGATGTGATTCCTGCATGTGAATTCTGCTGAGGTTCTTGTCAGCTATAAAGGACAGCTTACGCTACTGTATTGAATATCTTTCAGGATTCAACATATCCTAATGATTCATAGTTTTTAAGGACAAAAAAACCCCACTGTGGTTATCTAGTCTGACCTTCCAGTTAATGCAGGCCATAGGACTTGTCCTGAATTAATTCATGTAAGAATTAACATATATCTTTTGGAAAATGATTCAACATTGATTTAGAAGTGTCAGCAATAAGAAAGCCATCACTTCCCTTCCAATATTACTTGCCCAAATGGCTAAAAAAGGCTGTATCTCATTTCTTATCTAGCTCTGTCCAGCTTCATCTCCCAGTCACTGAATCTCTCTCCTAGATTAATAAGATCTCTATTATAAATTTCTGTTCCCATGTATATATTAACTATGACCAAAGCACTCTGTACCCTTGATTAAGCTAAATTAATTGAGGTCTTCAAATCTCACTGTATGCCATGGTTTCCAACCCCCAAATCATCCTTGTAGCTTTTCTTTGAATCCTCTCCATTAATCAATATCCTTCTTGAATTTAAGACCAGAATGGAATATAGTATTCCAACAGAAGTGATACTAGTGATTAGTTCCAAAAAGCCTGTCTGCCTTTGTCCTGTCCCACAGCATTCTCCTCTCCCTGCTACTACATTCAACCAGGTTTATCTCAAATTGATTTCAGCCATTTTTAAACTGGTTTATGTGCACTGAACAGCTGTTCTGTTATAGGTTTAAACCAGTTTCCAATCACGTAAACCAGTTTATTTGTAACGTCTATCCCTAGCCTAAGATAAATCAAACATTTTAGTTACTTCCTGTTTAGCTTTCCCACTACTGGGGAAAAAACACTTAGAAAAAGCAGAGTGCACACTAGAACTATGCTTCAAGGAAGTGGGAAGAAATCAGAAAAGATCAGAGATTTATAAAAAGGAAAAGTACAAATTAAAACTATGTATCAGCTTGTCCCAGCTTGAGGCTATAATTAAAAAGGCTTAAGGAAAGCATGTTTTCTTACAGAACAAATAAAGCCCTTATTAAGGAAGTTGTTACTTTCCCTTTCCTTTTAGTTTTGACCTCTGTTAGGAGAAAGTATAGGTTTCCTTAATGTGTAAGTTTAAGAAAAATCTGCTTAAGAACCAAGAGATACATGGGGGGTTGTCAGTGAGTCACTAACATTAAAACTATCATT